CTGAGTAACTTTCATCCGTATTCTAGGAATACCTTATGTGATAAACTCTTGTGATAAATGTTCCATTTTGTATATTGGATATACTTGTTGTATTCTAGGAATACTTTTGTTTTGTTAACTTCTCGGAAGTCATTACTTGTGTTGTTGAACCGGGTTCAACTTTCATCAGAAATCCTTTCCATTGACAAGAAAATGCTCGTTCTACTCAAATAACGTACAATGCTCGTAAAGTATTATCTCTCACAAACAAAGCTCAGCAATTAATGGTTTTGAAAGCGCCTTACACTCTGCGAGCACAGCAAGCAAAGCCAACTACACACTGTGGGAACTTGTCTAAAGTCATCGAGAAATGCTGTAAGTTAAAGTTCCCAGAACTTATTGATATTTTTGATGAAAAAATTAAAGGGCGACCTGGGAGAGTCCTCATAAAGATTTGGAAATTTCAGCAAGTTTGGGATGTTGTGGAGAGACAAATAATGCAGCCTTTTAATCACAAAACTATACTCTTTAATTTGCTATATTATTCATTGTAATTAAATACGAAATCTTTTCTTAAATGGACTTTGAATGAGCTCTTTTAAAAATAAGGTGCGACATAAAAAGTTTGCAACCTCTCTTCTTGTTCGGGCGCTGATTTGGACTTATCTCTACGTTTTCAGCCTTTTGTTTTGTGCTTTTTCATTAAATATTGACAATAAGACAAACTAGAATTGAATTTTTAGGCCTAAGTCAGCTGATATTGAGCCGATCCAGAGACAATGTTAAAAAACGCGCTACAAATTTCGAATCCATTTTTTTGGCCCTTTGACCAGAATTTTCATAATTTTCATTCTTTCACCATTCCTGAGTCTTTTGTCTACCTGATAAACATTGAGTTCTGAAATTTCTACAGCCTCAAGAATTTCACCAAATTGATACAAAGAAAGTTCATGATACTTAGAGACTAGTTGTGAAATCAATTTACATGTACGTTTATCACAATGTTTAAGGTCGATTTTCTGAATTAATACTGAATTAATTTATGAAAAAATATATCAAAAGGATCCTTATAATTCAACTAACACTGTAGTCTAGAAATGGTGCCAGAGTGTCTAGTCTATGACTAAAAAACCGTTTGGTTGCAAACTTTTTAGATCGCATCTTAGTTTGCCAAACCCATGTTAAAAATGGTGTCCTGTAAACTCGCTCCATTTAAGCTTTAAAACAAACAGAGTCAAACCCTTTTACAACTTTAAAGAAATCTCGCCACTAATTGTTACAGCTATGGCAAGTAAATTATCAATTTGATTAAGAAATTCGTGTACAAAGATCAAGCTCAAACTGAATAAATTCAATTCAATATCATTTTGATAGCTTTTGTATCGAGAATTTTTATTTAATTGAACACATTATAGCTTTTTGTTGAATTTTTTGGCTGCCTAGCTTGCAACAGAAGTATGCTGTAGGACATTTCTTTCAATGAATCGATAGAAGCACGATAATGTCTCTTTTCGAATTAATACAAAAAGCTACCAAAACGATATGAAATTGAATCTATTCAGTTTGAGCTTGATCTTTGTACACGAATTTCTTAATCAAAATTGATAATTTACTTGCCACAGCTGTAACAATTAGTGGCGAGATTTCTTTAAAGTTGTAAAAGGGTTTGACTGTCCGTTTGTTTTAAAGCTTAAATGTGGCGAGTTTACAGGGAACCGTTAAAAGGAGCAGGAAAATACCTAAGGAAAATAAAAAGGTAGAAAGTCAACAGCGAGAAAGAGATTATGAAAGAGACGCAAAAATGACAAAAAATAAATGTAAAAAATTTTTGATGAGAAAAAGTTCAAAAAAATAAAATGATTGTTAGTGGCGCCATCGCGTTCTGCCCCTTTTCCCTATCCTTATCTCGAAAAAATAGCTAACATTGCATGCTACCTCTTGTTATACTCTGCGTCAGGGGGATATTTTGATGCCCCTAATTGGGTTGGCTTTTTCTGTTGGCCATAAAAGTAGAGAAACTAATCCATTTGTTTAAAGCACTGAGTGCACACGGTACTTAAGTTGTTCAAATTACCAATTAATAATTGGCCATAAAACCTTGTTTCAGTAAGTGAAATGCGCAAACTACTCTTTTTAGTTATTGTTAATATGTTGTTATCTTCACTAACCACGCAGAATCAGTTTTCGTATCTGGTTAACTTTGTTAACCAGACGTAATGACTAGCTTCCTGTTTTCTCACGCATGCGTATTTAACAAAATGACTCCCAAATCCTGTCCTGTTATAGACGCTTCAAGGTTATTCAAGCAATTACTGAATATTGCATTGAGTTAGTTAAGACTAGTTAAATCAGGTTTAAGGGAGTTACGCTTGGTGGTGCTGGGTTAATATAAAAGGAGTAAGACATGTTGCCATGGAGTCATTTACAAGTTGTAAGCTAAACAAGCTCCGTTAGCATTTATTTTTGTGTTCTTCTATTTTGTATTTTGTCTTTTGTCTCCTGACTATTGACTTTCCTGTAAAATGGTATCCAAGCCTTGTGCAACACCTTTCGACCTCGGTCTGTGTAACATCAAAACCCAACAAAAACAAGCCGACCTGGTTAAAATAGGAAACCTGAAATGTTCTTATATCCTGATGAGAGGCTATCATCTTAATAAGCTTGATGTTGACGATCAAATTAAGCTTATTAAGTTTGCCAATCAGGCTCAAAGTAAAGCCAAATGGGTTCTTAATCACATCGATTTGAGCTCAAACCTTGGACAAAAAGTGTTTCATGAAAATGAAAACGTTCTTCGAATCAGTCACAATTATGCCATTGAATTGTTGAAAGACTATGAACAATATTGTTCAACTTAATCTAACCTAACCGACCCTAACCTAAGTTTGAATATTTCATCTCGTTAAAGGCTAAAGCCAAAATAATTGATGCCACATTGTCAAAAAACAAATTGTTAAAAATGTATATACCAAAAAATCTCAATTAGCATTTAATTGCTAATATTTTGTTGTAATTTTTTTCTCTTCTAATCTAATCAACCCAAATCTTGCCTACCAACAATGCGTTTTACATTCGCCATTTAAGTTTGTTGTATTTAATACTTGTTTAAACCCATTGATCCCATTAGGCAATTAACAGTCAAAGAAAATGAGTTGAATCAAACCACAAACGCAAGTCAATACATACGGGTATGTGAAAAAGGTAAACCGTCCCCATAGATCCATTGTAATGATGGTAAGTGGCCACAATTGATAAAATATTTAGTTTGATATTACCAACTGTACTTTCTTTGACTGTATTTTGCCCATCTATTTTTCCACTAATCAACCCTGATTCCAGACCATTGAATTGAGGATAAATCATTGTTAAATCTATCCTTCTATCCAATTAAATTTTGCCAAGCAATATAATTAACAAAAGAGTGGAAAAAAACTAAAATGGGAATGGAAAACGCCAAATCTCAATTTACTTTTCATGTTACAATGTATTCTTCTAATCATTTAAGGGGCTAAAAGCTCACTTATCAATTACTATTTACACCTTTTATTGTTGTTAATATTTTCTAATCATAATGTAAATAATAAATAATACAATTTATAAAAAAAACACAAAACGTATGTCAAGTTATTGTTGAACCAGAAAATCGTTTGACCATGAAGTACAAAAAGTGGCAACAAGCCCATCGATTAACAAGGTTGAGTAACTCTTTTTCGTGTCATTTATAGTTGACGAGTATAGTTGAGATTAACTGGATTAACCATTTTAGCACATTAGATAGATTAACACACAAAATAAATTAAACTTTCAACTATAACCAGGTCGCGACTTTAACTCAAAGAGTAAAGGAAGTAGCTTATTTACCCTTTGCTTTAACTAGTAAATTGTTACAAAGACAAGAAAGAAGTCTTTCTCGTTCTTTCTTTTGAAAAGACAAAAGAGATGAAAATTCCACATGGCCCATGTGACATGGGCTGTCTTTAATTGAATTACTTACTCATTTGACTAGGAAGATTTAGGTGGAAACTGGGTTCACTTTGAAATCACGAAAAATAAAACAATGGACAAGAATTGAAAAGTTAGTTAAGGTCATCTAAGTTAATTTACTGTCGTTTTAAGATTAGTACATTCATTTTAAACCAGTCGTTTGGGATTGGCTTAACATATTCGCGCAAGATTCAAATTACAAATACGAATATCATAATGATAATATTAATAAGCCAAAGTTATTTTTGCAAAAGTACAAAATATAATTATCTTCCTGCAAATTGATAAGAATTAGATGATTTGGTAGACAATGACTTGTTTCCTTTTGATTTATTGTGGTGCCTCTGTATATAATAAACATTATTTATAAATCTGTCGTACTGATGTCTCTAATAAACAAGTATTTTTTTAGTTTGTTTTTCAGATGAGTTTTGTGTAAAATGAGAAACATAAATGAAAACTTTAATTGATCAAGGACTACTTCGAGTTTCCTTGAAAGACTGCTGTTTAAATCGTTTCCATTCCTCAATCCTGGCTTTAAGATTGCTATCTGTAAGAAATAATGAGGAAAAAACGGTAAAAATATAAAATTAATAGTGAATAATTATCTATTATTTAGTTGATTAAAGTAAATTTTACCTATAACGAGCATATCTTCAGTTAATGGTTGACGATTGAATGGATCAGTATTTGAATTGAGCAAATGACGTATAATAACTGATTTATCAACTATTTTACCACTTGGTAAAATTACAGGTTCATCCATGAGAGTGTCCATCAACGCATCTTTGAACTCTTCTGGGGCATCACTGTAATCCATATTGACATTTGTTTCTCTTATCTTTTCAACTCTCTTCGCCATCTCATTGAATTTGTAAATCGCTGGTTCCGTTTTTATCATCGCTTTTTTCAATCGGAGTATTGCATCTTCAAATAGTGCCTTACTATAAGATCTTTCATCAGCTGCTATAGCCTATGTGAAAAAATTAAAATTATGAAAAAATAATGAGTCAAAATAGTGACGATTTCTTGAAAACTATCAGTTTGGGTCAAACATTTCGTACCTCACAAAATTTATCAGAATCTAAATGTAAATAAATATCAGTTATCTGGTCCAAAACTTTTTTAGGAGACCAACCATATCTATCGGGGTTTTTGACTTTGAGATTTTTGCACTTAGGTCCACATAGCTGTTGAAGGTTATAATTCAACATCGCAGCTAGTCGATCAATAATTTCCTTTAGAAAAAAAGAAATAAAATTGTTTTATAATAAAAATGTTGAATAAAAATGAAATATACATGTGCATACATGTATGCATGTAATTGAAAATTATTGGAAATTTCTAAAGGTTAGCAACTTACTGGTTTGTAAAAAGGTTCACGGATGAAAGCAGTTAAATAATGGAACATGTCCATAGTCTCACTAGCTAGAGTCAAATATGACTGACATTGTCTTTCATCATTAACTAATTGCCTTTGTCTTGACGCTTGAGTTTCTGAGGGCTGTTTAGCCCATTCTTCTTTATTTTCTATAGCTTCTTGGACTTCGTGAATTCTTTTTAATGATTCCAAACTTTCATCTAATAGGTAAGTTGTATCGTTAATGAGCATGTTAACGAAACGGATAAATTGATTTCCAGTTTCAGATTCTTCAATGACAGCTTGTCGATGATACGAGTTAGCCCAAAGTGATTTAAATATTACACTTATGTGGTATCGAATTTGGAATTTATCATAAAATTCAGTGGAAGCTCCAGTTCTCTCGACATCAACGTAAAATTTCATCAGCGCTCTAGCAAGATGAGCTTTTGATAGGGGATGGGATAATATTCTTGAATGAAAACCACCAGTCATTGGATGGAGTATAGGACTTGATACGAAGACCACTTGAATAAGTTTAGCAATGAGGTATGGATTGGCTACACAATGTGATGAACAGATGAAAACAACGATAAATAAGGCTAGATCATCACCATTTGGATCAGATTCAATAAATTGAGGCACATTTTGAAGCGTGAAAAGGAGAAAATCAGCTATATCATCCATGTACCATTCAGGATAAGCAGCGAAAACTTCAGGAACTGCATCAGGTAGCGGAAGATTAACAAGACCAGAGCATGGATCACATCCAACACTTTTTATTAACAAGTTCATAGTCATTGTGTAAAAAGCTAAACATCTACTCAATAATTGCTGATCTAAAATGGCTGCTTCAGCACAGTATTTTGCTTTGACCAGCCTTCGAGCTTGTTCTCTCCAATGTTTTATGGCCAGTTTATGTCTTTGGCTATTAGCGGGATCGTTAGCCCAACTTGACTCGAAAGATTGTAACTCATCAGCCATTCTGTTGTAATCAGTGATGGTCCTTTTTCGCTGTGTGTATCGTCTTATACATGGTATCACGCTTAGGTGATGACAAACTAATGTTAAGTAAAAACATTCAGTATTAAATGCCGGTTCACTAGAATTAGATCCATGTTGTTCCATTACGAACTGTTTTTGCCATTTTTCAGCCTCTGCTGGGGCCAATTTCAACCGAGTTTCATCGGGCTTAATAGCAACTCTGCTAGCCGTCAGGTAAGGATAATATACATCAATTTTGTCCAATTTTATTTTAAGAGATAGTTTTTGTAGAACTGAGAGTAGATTGAGCAAAAAGCCATCCGGAGATAAATTCATCTCGGCTGCTTGCATCTGAGCTTTCTTTTCATTTCGTTTCAGAGCTTCGGTCAGATAGTTCATGGCACCATCCCTACTTGATCGGTTGACTAAAATCCCATAAAAAATATTATGCAATTCTTTACGAATAAATTCCAAATGATTTTGAAGATAAGTATTAATCGACTTGATGGCATCATGTTTTAAAACGCTTTCTCCATAAAATTTCTCTATGATTCGAGGCTGGAAAGAAAAAATGGTCATTTAATGAGAAAGTGAGTTTTTAGATAATTTGGTAAAAAATAAATAGAATATATCTTTCAAGCATGTTATTAACGTCATTGACTAAGCTCCCGTATAAAAAAGGAAAGGAGATAATAACAAATAAAGTTCTCTATAAAGATCGTTGAACTTGATTGATTCTGCTGAAATTTTAAAAGCAATGAACAAAAGAAGTTTATGGCCATTAATACTATTGGCCATAGAGAATTGACCTTCAAGTGAGTTAGAAAGAGAGGTGAATATGCTGCTCTCATGATTAGCAAGATGAAATATTAGAGTGTAATCGCAGAATTAATTTGAATTTACGTAAATTTTTCACTCCAATGAATTAATACTTACATCATCTTCTGCGAATACTGATAAACGTAGAAAAGGTGCCATAAATGTTAGTCTAGCAAATTCGCGACCAGGCGCACTGGACAAAGACTCCGGGAGCCAGTGTTCCATTCTCACTAGCTGAAATTGAAAAGGAATTGAAATTATTATTAGTATATATTTAATGTTTTTAATAAATTAGACAAAGACAAAAGTTCAAAACATAAACTCACCAAATTGCAGATGGGTCTATTTTGTGCAATTTTAATATCACATAATTCAGTCAAAGCATGAAGTGGCAGTTTATATCGATCTTCATGAGTAATGCTACAATACTGTAACATTTCTTGCCATAAAGAGAAGAGTAAAGGTTTGAAGATAGAGGCGAAATTGCCCTCAATACCATCTTCATTGAAGACAGTTGAAGCCAAATCAAATATAAAACTTGTGGGCCAACTATCGTGTAGGATGAATGGCGTCAACAGAGATGTAGTACTGTTACCACAGTCGATTGATGGTGAAAAAGTATTTGTTAGCAAAAGAATAGCAAAATTGACACATTGTCCACGAATTTCAGATATTAGTTGTTTAGAGCTTGAAGAAGGGGATAATGATGTTTTTTCCAATACGGCTGATCTTTCATATGATTCCATAAGATATCTGAGCAAGATGGTTCCAACGTTTTTACTTTCAATGATCTCTTTGGAAAATCTTAAACCTGAATTATTTGAAAATAATAATGAAGATGAAGATGAGAGAGATGATGATGATGACGATGATGATAAATGATAAGCTGTACCATTAGTTTCAGATGAACTCCATAAAGGCCAAGTGTATTTATTGTAAACCTCAGTTGGAGCTGAAGGATCTGAAGAGCTGGCAGCAGCTGAAAAGTCACTGATTAGATCCATAAAAACCGCCTCAATGATGGTCATATAGCCTGCAATATCCTCACTGTCGAGTAATTGGTTGTAAGGTTCTTTAGATTGGAGCCGAAAGGTTGATAAAGATACTCCTAAAGTTTTGATTAATATAGACTCCAGCAGAGTTCTCATTCCAATAGTTGGTGGCTTAATCATTTTTTCAGGGCTGTTTGATATTGTTGTTGACGCTGTTGTTGTGGTTACTTGTGGTGACAATTTATTTTCCTCCTCAGTATTATTCTGGTTCACTTGCATAACAATATCGACAGAACTAGTATCCATAGATCCACTCGACAGGTTATCCATTGTTTAGAAAGATGGTTAAAACGAGGAAAAAGAAGGACAAAGAATTTACTAAAAACTACAAAAATTCTATCTTCAAATTAAATACTGTTTGTACACATAAGTACAAGGCAAAATACAGAATATTTAATCCAAGAGACAATAAAAAAAGAAACGACCAGTTTGACTCTTAAGGCATTTATTTGAGTGTATCAGGCAATTCACAGATTAATAGATAAGATGGTTGTAGAAAGGATTACCGTTCCCAAACAACAATTAAATAAGAGATTGATTAGAAAAAGAATTAATTATTATTAACAGACTAATTGCTTTGTAATCGTATCATGTAAAGCTGTTGAGTATGATTTTTATTTTTTTACAGATTCTTAATTCAGATTGCCCTCTGGTGCAAATAAATTTCATCAAAAGATTGCATAAAAATGATGAGGAGCAAGAGCCATCTAGTGACTTTTTAATTTCATTAGATTCCCAATTAAATTGATGAAAGTATGAAAGAATTGAATAAATTTGCAAATTCCAATGTTTTAATCTTTATTTGCAGATTTTAATACACATCATCAACTGATGACTTGTAATTTCATCAGTTGATTGGTCAACGTAACAAAAATATTTTTACTCTTTTCATGGCAATCAAATCTAAATTGTTCTTACAATATTATTATCCAACTGAATAATCAATCTTTGTGTGACAATGAAAGATTTTAAGGGATTTTTTCAATTCTACAGATACATTTCAACTCAGTTGATTAGATTTCCATTTGATAAATTGAATATTTATTTGAACAGTACAAGACTTCGCAACTGGATAATGGTCATTGACGATTATTTAGACTGTCCTCGTTCTTAGCTTCAGCGTTTATCGGATCAATTGTTGGTTTCACCTTACGGATTGTAGAGATCCCTTGTTTTGTCAGCAATTGTATAGTCAAAAAAAACAATTTACAATATAACATCAAATTAGAATTTGATTCTCATTTTGATATTTGAATTAATAACAGAACATACAATTGAGAAGAAGGATTTAGCATAATTTTTTGATAAAACAACATAATCTGTCTTCTTGTTTTGAAGAGCAAACATCCATTGAAGTCAATGTTTGAAACATTGTTGAGGGAAAGAAAGAATAATTAATAAATTGTGAAAATGTCTTACAATTTTGATCTTTATAACGAATTATTTGACAAAAATTAGCAAAATAAAATATTTAGCTTCAGGCTGGTTCATATTGATTAATAATGAACAAAAAAATAACAATAATTCGTAATGAAGATTAGTCTATCAATTGCGATACACTAATTGAAGTCTGAATTAATTCAATTGAAATGTACAATCAAGGTAAGATTAACATTGGAATAGCAATTAGAGTGAAAGGATGTAAGCAATTGAAAATACTATTTAACATGATTTTTTTATTTAAATGGTTTCTTCTCTAACTAGTGCGATTGGCAACGTTAAAGTTAATGATTTAATCAACATAAAAAATATGCTAATTAAGAAGATCAAAAAAGTATAACCAGTGCATTGAAAGTAAATTGGTTTAGCTAACTATATGGCTTTTCAATTGCTTTCACAGGTATAAATGGGAGAGATTATTGGAGGCAATTAAATGATCATGAGATCATGAGAAGGACTAAATTTTAAAATAAGAATACGTATTAGTACGTAACAAATGATCGAAGATGCATAAACGGAAAAGATGACAATTAGAGGATGTACAAAGTAAAGGGTTTCTTTGGTCATTCCAAGGAAATAAAATGGGAAAATTGGAAAAAATTAAAAAAATTAAAATAACTTAAAATAACAACAAGGTGAAAAGCAAAAAAACCAAACTTCACAATCAAGCAAAGATTGTAAAATCTTGAAAGAAAAGACTAAAGGTAAATAAATGCAAGAAATATATCATTAGATATATCGTGAAGAATAATTGTGTTTTGATTTACTTTCAGTCCCGACGAGTCCTTTTGCTTGACCTGACTCCTGAGACTGAGGACAGAGTAGTTGCAATGGTTGTTGTTGCAAGAAAATCAAATTCACCTTGGCATTGGTGACCTGAGCCAAATGATCCAAGTCGGGGTCGCTTAGAAATATGAACCTGAGATTGTGCTGTAAGCTGCAATTGGATTGCAGAAGTATTCAATTTTTCTGCTAATAATAAATCTTTTAATCCAATCATTTTCTGACTCTGAAGATAAACGATACATTCACCATTCTCATGGTGACCATTACTCTCCCTAGTCGGATGACTTTTATCTTCGGAAGTTGTTGAGTTTTTGGTGTTGAAATTTTTGCTGGTTTCCTTGTGTTTCTTTTCATTCTCAGATTCATCAGATTGGTCCGGTTGAGAAGCGTTTCTGCTTTCTGAATTTGGTTCGCAAGAAATATTGAGAAGTGTTTCAGAGTTAAGGATTGGATTTGAACATTCAGCAGCCATCTTAACAATTTGAGGGTCAAGTTCATCCTTTGATTTGTCATATGTACCTGATTTCAGATTCTGTTCAATCCTTTCTCCATCTTCTTTTAAATCTTCTTCAATAGATTTAATTATTTCATCAGGAGTTCGGATAGGAGAGGTTGGAGATTTCGAAGGCTCATCATTAGAGGTGCTTGAATCAGAGTTGCAAGTTTTGGGACCATTGCTTTTTTCACTTTGATCAGAAGTGTTGTGCTCTGATTGACTTCCCTCTGTACAATCTTGATTGATTTTATCGTGATTTTTAAGATTCTTTTCAACATCTTTAATTTTGATTTGTGCTTTATTACGGACATGGGATGTGAATTTTGAGATTGTGGCAACAAACGGCTTAGCCCAGCCAATGTGCAAAACTGGTGTAGGAGATTCTTCTTCCCAGCCACAAAGTCCATCATAAAATGCCAGCAAAGATGCAAAACATTCGGGATCTTGGAGGAGAGGAATTTTTGAAACTTTACTTGGTTCGCATCCACCAGCTGAGACGACTTTAACCATATGTGGAATGAGATCATTAGCTATTTCAAGAAATTCTTTGTAAATTTCTTCATCATCTCGGGTATAATTATAACAACGAATGACTGAAGCAGCATCAGCCCATGATTTGAGAGCTTCCTTGAAACGTCCATTACGAAAATAATAACTTGCCAGGAAACAGTAAGGATAAACATGCTGATTATCGTACATTTTCTTATTAATTTCAATAGCTTCTTGATATAATCCGATTGCATCTTTGGGTGCTTTTGGTGTCGGATTAACTTCTTCTAAATCACCAAGATTACCAATACCCATAGGATATTTAACCAACAAACCTTTATCGTAAAGAACCCATAAAAGTTTTTGTTGTATTGATGCTAACTGTTCAGATTCACTAGCTGTGCTGATGGATGGATTCATAGAAGCAACTAATGCGCAAACTATCATAGATGGTGTACATAAAACAGGATAACCATTTAGATACAACCAACAATTTGCTGTGACAACAGGTTGTCCCCTTTTATCCTCACTTCCTTTACCGCGCCATGAAATCTGAAAATTTATTCAAAAAAAAAGATTAAGTCAATAATACAATGCATTTAACCGGCATACAATTTTTTAATTTGTAAGGCAACTTACCTCTGCGGTTTGTTCATTTCCAGGCTCTCCAAAAATAACCCAAGCGTGGTCTTCACTCAAAGCCAGACGGACATCATTAAGCTCTAATACTTGGCATGCAGCAGCAATCGCAAGTGTAACACCAAAACGGTCAAGTTTTTCTTCCATAGTATAAGAATACAAAGTTTGAAGATGAGCTTTATTTGTGTAATAACCTCTCGTTAGATTAGACCAAATTGCATCAATAACTTTTTTGATTAACTCTCGTGATGTCTTTTTAGGATGATCTCGATGATCAACTGAGCCTATTGAAAAAAAGACAAAGATTTAAGCTTTTAAAAATGATTTATAGAAAATAAAATTTGAACAGACAAATTCTAGTTCAAGAACCTAGCAAGGATTTTTCCAATTTTGTGTATTTAATCGCAAATGCAGTCAGAAATTGTTCATTAATAGCTTATATAAGAATCAATTTAAATCGAGCTCAACAAGTTTTGATTTTAACTTTAATGAAGTATAGAAAAGTTAGTGAAAGATTGAAACAAAGATTTGAAAATTGAAAAAGCATTGGTCATTTTGGGTATCAAGAGTTGTTTTTGAGTTTAACTCTTTTGTTCACTCTTTTTTTATAACATTAACCTTGAAACTAGTTAACTCAAGTTTGCAAAAATGTGGTAATGTTTATGTCCATTGTTGCTTTTGGCTTGTAGTAAGGTAAGATAAAAGAATACCGAGAGAGAAGAAGAGAGAGAAACTGAGAGCATGAGAGTAACAAAGACTTTTAACTCTTTAAAAAGACCAAAGTAAAAAAGAATCATAACGAGCGGCATCAAAGGCAAGAAAAGAGCTGAAAAAGCAGAAGAGAAAAAAGAAAGGGAAAACTGGTTGAAGGCTAAAGTTTGCCTTCTATTCTGGTTAATGTTGGCGGTTAATTTTCGAGCTTACCATAAAGCATGGAAAAGATGTTTTAGACATTAATATTAATAGAAGGACAAAAGATGTGAATAATTTTAAGATGAAAACGAAAGTAAACAGTGATTTACCTTTGATTTGGCTGATAAATTTTTTGTACAATGGTTCAACATGGTCCCATTTGACCGGAGGTATTTCTAACTCTTCTCTACTCGAGGACGCTGTATGATCGGAGATGAAAGAAGCTGATGACCCTTTACCATTACCATTGGTATCCACATCACCACTAGCACCAGATACACTTCCAGAATCATCTGATTGTTTAATGAAATAATCAGACGAGTAGGTTGACGAAGAAGGTGAAAGAGGAGTTTGAGCACAAGTTAAAGTGTGCTCAATGTGTCCCAATAAGATGGAAAGAAAAGTTAAATCAGGCTGATGATTTGAATCAATTAGTCGTTGAAATAAATCGACGACACTCTTAATTGTAGTTAATGGAAAATAACTACGTAAACTATTAATTTGTCTATGGCGATTTGACATGTTTTTTTTACTGTTATTACTGTAGTTCAAATGTTAGAGAAATGTTCAAATACACATTTTTTTTCACATCACGAGGGAAGATTTTTGGATGGGTTTAGAGAAAGATGAGAAACGGACAATGATTTCACTTAACAACAATCAACCCATGAAAAACAATTGAACAAAACAGAAGGTTAAATTGGCAATTAAAACAAATGAAAAGATTAAAGTAAAATTAAATGTCAATTATGTTAAAAATTATCCCTCATTTCAAGTGTAAACAACATGAGCAATACTAGTAAGGAGTTAAGCAAAAAGGTTACCATTGGCTTGTAAAATGAAGCAACAGTCAACATCCAATCACAAAAAGAGTAACAAACCTACGCGGTCATTTTGAATTTCTGGTATCAACCAGTAAAACTTGTCTTTAAAAAACATTAAACACTTTTATTCCAAAACATGACAAAACCATGAATAATGACTATAAATGAATTTTCCATCAAATTATGCCCGTTCAACCTTTTCATTACCCAAAATTAGTCTACATTAAACATTTTACCACAAAGCTAACCAATTCACCAATTGATACACTAATAATCAAGCATAAATTGTGACTCAAATCTGATCAGATTTTATCAATCAATCCTGAAATTCCGAAAATCGTGACTCTTTCACTTCTAAATGCTCATTAGGCAACTGTGACAATTCAAATTCCTTATTCTTACCAAATTTGAAGGTTAAATCTACTAGATGTGAACGCAACCCTTGAAAATAATTTTGGTCTGAACTTTGAGTTACATTGAATATTTCATGGTTTTCCCTTTCTATCTCACTAAACTCATGGTTGCCACAACAAGATTTATTCAATAACAATAATATGTCAATGATACAGTTAAAATGGGCCAACAGGTAATATTGATTAAACTTGATCCAATAAAAGCAAAATGTATTATTTTCTCAATATTTGTTTATCTTCAACATTTGAAATACAATTTTCAACATTACATTGAAACCAGAATAATTAGCTCATGAATTGAATGGAAGCAACTTTTTATGATTTTAAAATCGGCAACAACAATTGATTACATGACCTATTGGCAGCTTTAATTGATGCTTTCATTGTTGCTTCCATTCACTCATTTACAATAATCAATACATTTGCACCATTTGAAGCTGTATTTTTCAAATTTTTAGGTAAACACTTGATTTTATGGAAGGTTAACTTTGATCAATCTTGATATCGACTAACAGCAATGGGAGTCATTATTTTTCTTCAGCTTTCTTATTCATGTAAATTATCATCCAAATAATCTTCATAGCAACTAGCATTTCATGGGATGATTAAGAAAATGAAACTAAACAAATAATGAATAATGACGATTGAACTTTATTTTTGTTGTGTTATGATAAACTCGATTCACGAAACTTTTACTCAAATAATTACTGTTTGACGTATTCAAGTTGCTTTTTATTGTTTCTTGCATCTTCGTGATATAAACAGTAACTAGTTCAAACTCAAAGTTAAATATAATTGCGACTTTAATTCGTCATAAGTTACTTTGAAACTTTCATGTTGTTTTAATCTATCGACTTTGATCCATCCAAGTTGATTAACGGAATAATTTGGTGCCAGTGATTGTACAGACTTCATTTTATTATAAGTTTACATGGAAATGGCATTTGAAAATAAACCAGAATCAAGTACAAACGGACATGCAAGTGGATTAACCAGAACTGTAGCCAATGGTAAGTTATATCATAATAAAAGTAACAGGTAAAAATACTAAAAGACGAGTAAATCTCTCTATTAGTTAGACAGTTTCTAGGACCGAAGTTAATAAATTGAACTTTGGCTAAATATGCGTACTTGACCGAAAAATAAAATTTTAGGGTTTTGACCCGAAGTCTAGATTAGAGAGGGTTGACTGTGTGTGATGTATGGTGCAAACAGGTTAAAGTTGAGCTTCTCTGTGAATTTTAAAATAGTTGCTTGATAATAATTTAACAATTGTAAGTCCTATTTATTGAGAAGGTCTAATTGCTTAGAATCTTTAAATACGTAAAAAAACGTACGTTTCTCAAGGCCATTTCTGATTGATCATAAAAAGTTGCACCAGTGAAATAAGTTGCACGAAAAAATCTATTACTTCCATAGCTAAACAAAAGGCGATCGAAGTTTCAACTTTGAACTCTATTTTCTTAAACTGTCCATCGGATGAATTATTTAATAGCACGAATGGACTCAGTTTTTATACTTGCACAAACTTAACAAGTCTTAGATCAAATTTTCGAGGCTTCAGCAGTACTTTTTACATTTCATTTGAAAACACAACTAGAAAATTGGTTGTTTACCAAGAAATGGGTTGAGATGAGTTTCTTTTGTTAAATGAGTTGTTTCTCGTACATTTACATTCCAAATATTATCGTGACCCAAATGCGTTAATGTTATTATATTGAATTTAGCTCTTAATTAGTAGAGAATCAAAATAATGACTTTAGGCGCTACCATACTCGAAATATCGAGGTTCAAAGTTTTAGGACCAATGGCCAATATCAAGAGAACGGTTGATTAATTGCAAAAAGTATTCAATCCATGATGTGAGCCAGCAATTTTTATGGACTTGTAATAAGTTTAGGCTCTCTAACCCTTACGGTCATAGAAAGAGGTCGGTTCATGAGAAAATTGAACTGGATCTGTTTTACAGACACGGGAAATGTTATTTGGCAAAATAAGACCATTTTCTTGTTGTTCACCAAAAGTTGCAACAGTAAAATGAGTTTTACGAAAAAAACTACTTCTATTGTGGAACAAAAAGGCAATCGAAGTTTCAATTTTGACCTCGATTTTCTTAAAAACTGTCCATCAGATGAATTATTTAGCAGCACCAATGGATTCAGTTTTTAAGCCCCTACAAACCCACCAAGTTTCAACTCTTTACTCAAATTTTCGAGCCTTTTGCAGTAATTTTTGCATTTCATTTATTAGTTTAACCAGAAAATTGTTTTATTTACCAAGAAATGGGTTGAGATGAGTTTCTTTTGTTAAATGAGTTGTTGCTCGTACATTTAGGTTCAAAATCTCATGACCCGAATGCGTTAATGTAAATTTATTATATTGAATTGAATTAGTAATTAGTAGAGAATCAATTAGTGATAGATTAATGACTGTGGGTGCTACCATACTCGAAATATCGAGGTTCAAAGTTTTAAGCCCAATGGCCAAAATCACAGAGAACTGTCAATAAATTGTTAAAAGCATTCAATCCATGATATAAAGCAACAATTTGCATGGACTTGTAATAATTTTCGACTCTCTAAGTCTTGCGGTCGCAGAAAAAGGTTGGTTTAAGTTAAAATCGAACTAATCCGTTTTATTTTTAGCATAAAATTTTATTTACCGAAATAATTACATTTTATGGTTGATCGTTTGAAGTTACACCAGGAAAATAAATCTTAAAGCAAAATTTGCTTCCATAAACGTACAAAGAGCGATCAAAGTTTCAACTACGAACTCGATTTTCTCAAAACCTGTGATTAAGAGAAACTTTTTAATTACCCAAATAAGCGCAGTCTTTATGTCCCTTCAAACCAGTAGAGTTTAAATTTGGAAGAAATCAATTCTTATTCTGTTTTCACCCAATAAAATAATGGTTTGTGCATAAAAGTGACAATTGTGTCTTGTTAAATGTTTATGCAAACCAAAATCTTAGCATTGTAATGATTTCATTATTGAACGAATCAGTTCAGATTTCATTCAGTATTAAGTCATATTATATCATAGCCCATAATGAAATCTAATGTTCAGTCAAAGAATGGTGATTGGTAGAGGTTTTATTCTCGAAATATCGAGGCTCAAAGTTTTTCGTCCAATGTTCGAAATCAAGAGAACTATTTGTAGATCGGAAAAAATTTTCATTACATGATGTGTGTTAATAATTTTTATGGACCGATACTAAGTTTCAGTTTTCTTACTCTTATGGTCACAGAAAGAAATCGATTTGTGTAAAAATCGAACTGATCTATTTTATTTTGAACAGAAAATTTTATTTCCCGAAATAAGTACAGTTTATCGTTGCTCACCAAAAGTTACACCAGGAAAATGAGTTTCATGAAAAAATCTACTTCCATAAATGCACAAAAAGCGGTCAAAGTTTCAACTTCGCACTCAATTTTCTCGAAAACTATAGATCAGAAAGATTTTTAAACCGCACTGATGTGTGCAGTTTCTATGTCCCTACAAATCGGTAGAGTTTAAATTCTGAAGAAATCAGTTCCTACCCTGTTTTCACCTAATAAAATAGCTATTTGTGCATAAAAGTGACAATTGTGTCTTTCTAAATTACTTTAGACACTTTAATGGTTAAACTGTTTAATTAATCAATGCATAACTCTTCTAGAATTCAGTTTATTCTATCAATTCAGTTGATTGCTTAAAAGACTACTCTCTAACTCTTACTGTCACTGAATACGGGATGTTTAGCCTGAAAATTGAAGTGATCTGTTTTACAGAAGCAGAAAATCGATTGATTCCTTATTAAACCATATTGCATACTCTACCCATTATAAGCTTGATATTACATGGTTTATTGCATTCGGAATCTTAGGTCGCTTCAACTATTGTCCTTTTATTCAAATCGAAACTTTCCGTTTGAGCTAGCCAATGCTTTCATATTCAAGCCAACTTATTTTTTTAGTTAAAACTTACAGTTTGTTAGATCCAAATCGCATTTGGAAAAAGTATCGCGGAAAATAAAGTGAATATAAAAAGTGAACATTTGTCCAGCTTTATTTTTTCTTTTCTATTCAACCTATTTATCCAATCTAATTACCAATATAATTGCATTCTAACTCCCAATAAGATCTCAAATATAAAATGTAGAAGTCCCGCGATTTTTTCGCAAAAAACTTTTGCATAGCTGGTGACTATTTAAACATAACCATTCAAAAGTAAACTGTCGCAAAATCATTAGAAAAGAAATGCAAGACAGAAATTTGAAATCGGTAAATGATGAGTTTGTTTTTCGCTTTCAGATTCAATCAGTAATCCTGGTGAGGAGGCTCATGGTACTTGTGCTAATATATTGACCATCGTTTCAATCATATTTGCTGTTCTTACTGCACCTTTATCATTATTTTTCTGCGTCAAAGTTGTTCAAGAATATGAAAGAGCCGTTATCTTCAGGTTGGGTCGATTGTTGAGTGGTGGAGCTAAAGGTCCAGGTAAAAATAGAGAATCGATTAAATAACAATTTGCTTTGAATGCATAAAGTTTACTTAATGAGTGCTTCTTTCGTCTTTTCAGGTATTTTCATTATTTTGCCCTGCATTGAAAATTATACCAAAGTTGACCTAAGAACTTTAACTTTTGATGTTCCACCGCAAGAAATATTGACCAAAGATTCAGTCACAGTTTCAGTCGACGCCGTTGTTTATTATAGAGTGAATAATGCAACCATATCAATTGCAAACGTTGAAAATGCTCATCATTCAACCCGATTGCTGGCTCAAACAACCTTACGGAATATGCTGGGAACTCATAATCTTCATGAGATTCTTTCTGATCGCGAATTAATTTCAACTTCTATGCAGGTAATCAATCAATATAAAGATTAATTGGTGAAAGTTTAGATTAAACTTTTACAATATATTCTTACAGACTGTATTAGATGAAGCTACTGAACGCTGGGGAATCAAAGTTGAACGAACTGAAATGTGAGTTGAAAGTGTTTGAATTGCGAATTCAAAATTAATTATTGTTATCTTCAACAGTAAAGACGTTCGTCTACCTGTACAATTACAACGAGCAATGGCAGCTGAAGCAGAAGCAGCACGAGAAGCGCGAGCAAAGGTAAAACGCTTTCAGTTGATTAATTTTGTCCAATTGCAAACTTTGATTCATTTAAAATCTTTACTCATTGATAGGTTATTGCCGCTGAAGGTGAACAAAAAGCATCCCGAGCATTGAAAGAAGCTGCTGAAGTGATCACTCAGTCTCCGGCCGCGATTCAATTGCGCTACCTTCAAACGCTCAACACCATTTCTGCGGAAAAAAATTCAACCATTGTGTTTCCATTTCCTATTGATTTACTGGCTAAACTTGTACAAAAATGAGGTCCAATTTCATTGAATTCACCAAGAAAGCGAAGCAAATTTATTAGGTGAACAAATGAGTTATATTAAAAGGTTACAAATTTCATGGGCTCAACATAAAACCGTCTGGTGATGATTAATTCGAGGAAGGATAAAAATTTGCAAAAAAAGTAACCTTACGAACTGATCATGTACTTTAACCTTCAATCATACAGAGCACAATAGCCCAAATAGCCGTTTTTGAGTCGTTGATAATTTTTTTGTCCTTTGCGCGAATTATTTCACTGAATTTCATAAAGTCAATGAATCAAAGTTTTGTTGATAATTTTGCAGGTAAAATAGTCGGCACTACAAGGTGCAATATTGCTTCAAAGTCGGCAAGGTTGATTTTTTATGAAAACATATCGAAACCTTTGAACTTATCATCTTGCTCAAATAATATTAACTTTGTGATAGGAGTAACGAAAAATCAGCTTGATCTAACTCTGAATTGTACGAGCATTGCAAAACAAAGGTAAAATTTGGTGCTTTTGTGATCTACGAAAAGACAAAAAAGTTATAAACGATTCAAAAAGGGCTATTTAGATATTATGCTCTTTATAACATAAAATTGTACATTCAATGAGTTTTGATCAATAAAATATAACATTAGACTTTGACTGAATATTCTTGTTGCTTGTTTTAATCGCAGTTCATTTCAATTTGAATGGCGCTACAATGCCAGACTGCATTTCGATATTAGCTTGGTTCATTCCCTTTTCATCATATTCACATCAATTATTTGCAAATATTATTGAAAACCAACAGCCAAGAAATATTTTTAATAACATCGGCTCACTGGTTAGAAATGAATAATCTTACTGCAGGATAGGACCTTGATTGCGATAAATATCTATAAAAAACCGAAAAGTTGTTGATCAACCATATTATACTGATTATAATATGATATATGCAAAATATTATTCAATAAATCAGAATCTAAATGTTACTAAAGTTAAATGTTACCAAAATTCAAAAACATATTCGGAATTCAGTTTCAGTTCATTTATTGCAACCGTCGACTTAAAGCTGGAAATACTAAAAATTTTAGCTTTGCTTCTTGAATTTGTAAAGAATTTTGCTAATCCAACAAGTTTTTATCAAAATAATTGATTGAAAAATAAAACCTGGAAGATGCCGAACGAGACTAAGAGACCAAAAGACTACAGATGAATTTGAAACTGACTAAATTATTGAACGAATTATTTAGCAATGTTGACATGATTAGGATAACAAAAACCTAAATCAAGATTGTCTAAGCAGTTGATAGCAACGAAATGAATGGCAAGGTTGGATAGTATTAGATTAATTTTAATTCATCCCAAAGACAATAAAGGTATACAATTTTAAATCCTTTCATATACAACTCAATAACAGACACAAGTTTGCCCAGCTTTGTTAGTGTACTTGCCATATGCTGCTGCTGCTCCTGATGAAGCTGCTGCTGATGATCCTGAACCTGATCCTGATGATGCTGAGTTAGGTGAGTTACTGGTTGATGTTGTTGTTGTTGTTGTTTTTGTTGGTCCTGATGATGAATCTGAAGCTGATGCTGCTGATGCTGCTGCTGCTGCTGAACTTGAAGCTGCTGATGATGAGTCTGATCCAGTATTTGATGCTGGTGCAGGTGCAGATGATGAGTCTGAAGCTGCTGCTGCTGAACTTGATGCTGCTGATCCTGAAGCTGCTGATCCTGATGAACCTGAACCAGATGATCCTGAACCTGATGAACCAGATCCTTGTCCTGATGAACCTGAGCCAGATGATCCTGAACCTGAAGCTGCTGCTGCTCCTGATGAAGCTGCTGCTGATGATCCTGAACCTGATCCTGATGATGCTGAGTTAGGTGAGTTACTGGTTGATGTTGTTGTTGTTGTTGTTTTTGTTGGTCCTGATGATGAATCTGAAGCTGATGCTGCTGATGCTGCTGCTGCTGCTGAACTTGAAGCTGCTGATGATGAGTCTGATCCAGTATTTGATGCTGGTGCAGGTGCAGATGATGAGTCTGAAGCTGCTGCTGCTGAACTTGATGCTGCTGATCCTGAAGCTGCTGATCCTGATGAACCTGAACCAGATGATCCTGATCCTGATGAACCAGATCCTTGTCATGATGAACCTGAGCCAGATGATCCTGAACCTGAAGCTGCTGCTGCTCATGATGAAGCTGCTGCTGATGATCCTGAACCTGATCCTGATGATGCTGAGTTAGGTGAGTTACTGGTTGATGTTGTTGTTGTTGTTGTTTTTGTTGGTCCTGATGATGAATCTGAAGCTGATGCTGCTGATGCTGCTGCTGCTGCTGAACTTGAAGCTGCTGATGATGAGTCTGATCCAGTATTTGATGCTGGTGCAGGTGCAGATGATGAGTCTGAACGCTGCTGCTGCTGAACTTGATGCTGCTGATCCTGAAGCTGCTGATCCTGATGAACCTGAACCAGATGATCCTGAACCTGATGAACCAGATCCTTGTCCTGATGAACCTGAGCCAGATGATCCTGAACCTGAAGCTGCTGCTGCTCCTGATGAAGCTGCTGCTGATGATCCTGAACCTGATCCTGATGATGCTGAGTTAGGTGAGTTACTGGTTGATGTTGTTGTTGTTTTTGTTGGTCCTGATGATGAATCTGAAGCTAATCCTGCTGATGCTGCTGCTGCTGCTAAACTTGAAGCTGCTGATGATGAGTCTGATCCAGTATTTGATGCTGGTGCAGGTGCAGATGATGAGTCTGAAGCTGCTGCTGCTGAACTTGATGCTGCTGATCCTGAAGCTGCTGATCCTGATGAACCTGAACCAGATGATCCTGAACCTGATGAACCAGATCCTTGTCCTGATGAAACCTGAGCCAGATGATCCTGAAACCTGAAAGCTGCTGCTGCTCCTGATGAAGCTGCTGCTGATGATCCTGAACCTGATCCTGATGATGCTGAGTTAGGTGAGTTACTGGTTGATGTTGTTGTGTGTTGTTTTTGGTGCTCTGATGATGAAGCTGAGGCTGATGCGGCTGCTGCTGGCTGCTGCTGAGGAACTTGCAGTTGCTGATGATGAGCCTGATCCATTCTTTGATGCTG